AATCTGAAAAACCTAGTCCAAGTCATCACAAAAATTTCTGTTTCTATGCTACAGACAAAAATTAACATCTAATTTGCTAACAGATTTTTTTTCACTGTGAAAGAAGACAGGCTCTCTCCTACTTCATGCAGGCTCCCACAAAGAAGGAGCCATCAAATAGTTGTAAGATAAACTAACTTATTCTGAAATATAGTATTAGATACAGTGCGTACCAGCCATTTTGATCTGGTAAATCAAAAAATATTTCCCAAAACACTTTTCTAAGGCTCTACTCCAATTACTTAATATAGTGGTCTAAAATGACTGTTGGCTAGCGAGTACCAGTGAAGGAAGAAAACACAGAACTCAGTAACATATAGACACTAAACACAGGATGATCTTACTCATATTTCAGGCTAAGTCTGTGTGTGTACACGCGCATGCGTGCGCTCACATGTACACGTGAAAGAGGCAGAAAATCGTGGGGTACACTTCTGCAAGAGACAAGAATGTGATAGATTTTAGCTATCTTCCATAAACCCATGTAAAAGTCAGAGACTAAACTGACTGATCTTTTTCAGATGCAATAATTTTTTTGTTACAAGTTCAGTATTCAGTCATTAAGACAAGGGTTTGTTGGCTGACAGGATACACAGCACGAGGGTAGCTGTCCATGGATAAGCTGTAGAAGTTACAGGACATAAGAACACTTGAAATGCTTGAATAAAATTTCAGTAAGACGTACAGCATTAGTTTGCATTACTTTCAGGATGAAAAGTTTCTGTTTTGGACACAGAGCAAAAATTAAAGTCCATGGTTTAAAAGTATCTGGATGAAAATGTAGAATCAAAAAACAGAAGGAAAAAAAAAAGGTACATTCATGCTGCACCACGGACACTCAGGTTTATTAAACTTTGTACCTTGAGTCGAGCTTCTACTGAAGCCTTCTTACGAGCTTCCCTCCTGCGATACTGCTCCACTTTATCCAGCTGATCAGGACGCTGAAGCATTCCTGCTACTCTCTGAACAGCTGTTGCAACTGCTTCTCTATCCGTTTCCTCCATTGTTGATTAGGACCTCAAAATGCCTTCATAATTTAACAGTACTGAAAAGAAATATAACATTTTTAGAAAATATTTTTTCATTTGATGGCTATGTGTCACTTCAAAGTTAACAACTGGAGAACTAACCAACCTTGGCAATAAAAACAGTACAACTTGACAGAAGCATCATTAGACCGCATTATAAAGAATAGTAATCGGAATTCTACAAGAATCGCATTTAAAGTCACTTAATTGTGTTTCATTAGTTTATCTGAAATGTTCTCTGGTTACTGTTTTTGCATTTACCTTGCTCTCTGTAAGTTTGTATCAAAAAAAAAAAAAAGACGACAACAACAACAACAACAGAACAGCAAATCTTCATTTAAAAAACAGATTCTATCTAATCCTAGAGTAGGTTTGCCTATTAAAAGGGGAATGGACAAGCATAAAAGGAATCTTGCAGCAAGTCCACACAAAAATCCGAACTCTTCCTGAACTAGAATGTGGTGGAGCTGAGAGAACCATAGTCCCCCTGCAGCAATAGGTTAAATTTGCTACCAAAAGTGGAGAGAAACAGCTGTGGAAGCTCTAAACCTAGAGCTTCTAGGTTTAAAGCACTTCCATAAAAGACGACAACAACAACAACAACAGAACAGCAAATCTTCATTTAAAAAACAGATTCTATCTAATCCTAGAGTAGGTTTGCCTATTAAAAGGGGAATGAGACAAGCATAAAGGAATCTTGCAGCAAGTCCACACAAAAATCCGAACTCTTCCTGAACTAGAATGTGGTGGAGCTGAGAGAACCATAGTCCCCCTGCAGCAATAGGTTAAATTTGCTACCAAAAGTGGAGAGAAACAGCTGTGGAAGCTCTAAACCTAGAGCTTCTAGGTTTAAAGCACTTCCATTTAAACTTCTGATGGATGATGTTTTTATTTCCTACTCTTGTTATCAGTTCTTCTCACGGTATTAGTCCATCAGAGGTGTAGGTATGCAGGGAAAAATTAATCAAGTATTTCACCTAAGTCTCCAGCAGAATTTCTAGTGAATCAAGACATGCATGCAAACTAGTATGCAGAAAAGGTAAAATTTGCTGGCCATCAAACCAGACCTGTTCTCTCAAGCTTCACTAGCTACTAACAGAAAGCAGGGAGGGTCCCAGTCACCAACGATGCAAGAACATGGTGTCCACAGAACTCCAAGGAACACATCTGGAGTTCCTCATTCCTTCCAAATTATTTCCAACATTTTATGTCTTCAGCCTTGTAATCAAACAGAACATTTTAGGTTCTACTGCCACAACTACAGGTTATACTCTCTCATATCCATATTAAACCTTGAAAGTAGATACCTACTTTCAAAGCAGTCTGCATTCATATGTCCAACAGATCACTTAGTCTCAATAGAACAGTGATCTGATGAAGAACTGTGCCAAGTGCACAGAACTGGAAGAGCAAAGGCGAGAAAACTCATGGGTCGAAAGAAAGTTTGATAGGTGAAGGAAAGTGGAAACACCCCCAGCCCCCCAACCAAAACACAAGTGAAGCAAAGGAAATTGCTCACCACCTCCCATAGGAAAACTAATGCTCCAGCCAGTCTCTGAACAACGGCCACCCTGGAAGCCAAAAACCCCTCTTCTTCTTCTTCTTCCTCTACACCATCTTTTATTGCTGAGCATGACATTATATGGTAGGGAATTTTCCTTTGGCCAGTTTGGGTCAGCTGTCCCAGCTGTGTTCTCTCTCAATCTCTTGCTCATCCCCAGCCTACTCAAAGGGAGTGGAGGGTGGAGTAGGAAAAAGAGAAAGCCTTGACACTATGCAAGCACCCTTCAGCAATAGCCAAAACACTGGTGTGTTATCAGCACTGTTTTAGCCACAAATCCAAAACACAGCACCATACAGGCTGCTATGAAGAAAATTAACTTCATCCTGGACAGACTCAGTACAGCATTAGTAGAATTAGTCATTTTAGAACTTATCAGGGTTAAAAAAAAGATTCCAGGCAAGGTTTGCCCAAGAGCTAGTCTGTAAGACCCTATGCCTCAAGTTCCTTCATCCGATATCTCAAGATCTGTATCTCTAGTATCTTCAAAAATTACATGCACTTGTTCCAGAATTATTTCTACAGTGTAAACTCATGTCCTACTTTACCTCCTCAGCTGTGCAACCATACTCATCACTCATCTACTAATGGCCTGTTTAGCTCAAATGATGTTTGATTTCCTACTCTACATCTCAAGGTGCAGGATCTATTCCTACCACTCAGATTTTTGAATGAATACTTCGGTTTTGTTTAGCCCAATCCATTTCCAAGCTATCAGGACGGTATCTACAATTTTTAAAAAAGTTGTTATTTTAAAATATGAATTTACTACAGAAATGGCATCTGCAGTAGACAACTTTATGCTGAATTACTGCCTTTATTAACAACTCTGAATACATTCAACAGAGTTACGATAGCTTTAACCCACACAGCCACTACCCAGGCACATTAAGTAGACCTCATGAACAAAATCAGTAGTCAGTATACTGTAATATCCTAACTGATTACACACTAACTGGCTGAGGTAGACAGGTTGCTGCGCAACTACTAACCATTCAAAAGGAAGAGCAAACTTTAAGAAATCATGCCAACTTTACACAGAGGCTGTTAGCCAAAACCACAAACATCTTCAGAGCAAAGCACTGGAAGAAACAAACAAAAGAAAGCCCTGAGCAGCCTTGGAAAGGCTTCAGCTGCAAGCACACCCTCATCCTCCGGACTCAAGCTCCGGCCGGGAGCCGAGAAGCGAGCCAGCGAGGACGACACGCTCACAGGGGGAGGCCCCTGCCCCCTCCAGAAACGAGTTTCCAGGCTAGAGGGGCGCAACGACACCCAGGTTTGGGGCACAACCCCTCAAAACAAAGCTCGGAGGAAGCCGCGGCAGCCCCCGGCGCAGCCCCAGCTCCGCCCGGCAGCCCGGCTCGTCCCGGGCCCGCTCCCTGACGGAGGTGGCTCAACTCGAACTAGTTGCATCGACGCAGGTGCCCGTCCCCGCCGGGCAAAGGCCGGAGACCTGCCCCTGGGCACGCAGGCGAGGCTGCAGCCCCGCCACGCCGAGCTCCTTCGGCCTCGGCCCGCGGCCGC